AATGTCATAAATACTATGTCTGTTTGAGTCTGATTGTGTCTTAGGAAGAAAGTGTTTTTTCAAAATCCAGCATAAAATTGTGTCTTGGGCTAAATTTTTATTCACAGCTTTGGCTTATGACTTGAGTAGTTTTACTGTTTTATTGTGTTGCCAATAATAGTAATTAAATTCAGCAAACAACCTTTGTTTAAATTACATCTAAAATTAATAAAATAAAATGTTGGAAGGTGTTTACCTTCTCAGCAGAGTCTCCTTTGCCACGGATATTAAAATGCATTCTCCCACCCTAGTGGGTTTGGCTCAGCGGTCAGCGTGTCGGCCTGTGGACCGAGTCCTGAGTTGGATTCCGGTCAAGGGCATGTGCCTCGGTTGTGGTTCCTCGTGCAGGAAGCGACCAGTCAATGTGTCCTTCTCACGTCGATGTTTCTCGTTCTCTGCCTCTCTCACCCTTTCTCCCCCTCCCACTCTATTCAAAGATAAATAGAAAACTGTCCTTGGGCGAGGATTAAAAAAATGATAAAATACATTCTTCCCACACACACATTTTTTCATAGAAATTATAACGTCCCGACATAGTATACAATTTCCTTGCTTGCTGAGTTTATTTTCGCGGTTCCCCCCAGTAATGTGTAAGCATCATGGGGACAAGATGTTGCATCTGTCTTGTTCCTCATGTATCCTCAGTGTCTGGATCAGAGCCCCACAACTATTTTTTAGCAAATAAATAAATAAGTTTCCTAACTTAAACTTAAAAACAAGCAAGAACTGGGATCTTAAATGTGTATTTCTAATAAAGGATTATTTGTTTAAAAACATAAACTTTGGGGTCGTCTTTCAAGAACACAGAAATCGCCCTCAGGTAACTGCCCCCCAAAAGCTGTAAGTCCCCATTTGAGGTTTGTGGTGCAGCGTCGATGAGTCACACAGAACCCGTGGGATTCTGTCTGTGGATCTTGCTTTATTTCTACTTCCCTGTGCAGGAGACTTCTCTTCATGCTGAAAAGTAACTGTTAAGAAGGGACGCGTCGTTGAGAGGTGACAGAATGATCGGAGAGCTCCCACGGGCTCTCCCATGGACCTGGCTTCCTGTCCCAGGAAACCGAGAGAAATAAAAAATTGTTACGTGTGACATTTAGGGTTTTCTTGAGGGTGATTTCCATGTTCTGGAAAGACCATCCAGAAGTTTATCTAATGTAGGGGAGGAAAACTTTTCCTCTACCCATCTTAGGTTCTTGGCTGGGGCTCTGTATAAAAGACATCAATAAGAGGAAACTAGTTTATTAATGTGTATCATGCATGTAACAAATGGGATATTCAGAGATGAGTAACTCAAAGATGTGGCTTAGAATTCAGGCTTATATAGTATTCTTAGTAAGTAAAAAAATTTGTTTTTATTTTTAGAATAATACGTTTGTAGAGAAATTACAGGACGACAAGCTGCTCATTTCTGCTTCTTCTCAATTACCTTCAACTCAGAGAGTTCCCGATGCCACAGGGGCACATTGTGGGTGGACGTGTTCTGGTTCTCTTCACCGCCAATAACGTAACTGCTGCTTTGGGCATTGACAGGCCGAGAAGACACCCTCACAGTCACCCAGAGAATAAATTTTTCCTCTGATAAAATATGATTCACTAAATAGGGTCCCAGGGAGGTCACCTACAGGGTGACACCTGTCATCTATACCTGCCCCCCTCTATTAATCTGCACCTCCTCCATTCTGGTATTTCCCACATGGTGAATCCTGTCTTCCCAAGTGAGACTCTTGAAAATCTTTATATTTTGTAGCCTCCTGGCTGCTAGAAGACAGACTTGTGACTTAGATGCCACAGGTCCGAGTCTCCTGAGCAGGACTTGGTCTGGAATGAGTTCTGTGTGTCTGGGCCTGGGGCGGTGGTGGGAGTGACCTCTCATCACAGTTCTGTGCCTGGGAGTCCCTCCGGGAGTCTGTCCCGGGGCAGTGCTCACGCCCAGCCGATTCTGCGGCATCTCCTGCATCTCGTGAAGTCCCCTGCGTTCAAACTCCTTGGAAGGGTTGTGAGGAGAGCTTGTCTTCTTGAGAAGCAGGAGGCCACAGAGCCACAGAACCCAGGACTGTCGGTGTTAATTTTACACCGTGGCTAGTGGGGCTGAATAAATGGGCGACGTGGGAAGGTTTGTAGCACTTCAGACAATACAGGCTTTTCCGGTGTCTCACCCAAGTCATGTGTGTTTTGTTTTGTTCGCCGTACAGGATACTGGATCACGTCCTGGGACGGGACAGGTACCTGTAGACTGCCTGTATGTAGCTTCTACATCGAATGCACTGATCACGTTGATCTGATCAAGCCTGTTGTGTCTGTGGCACACATTTGAGGATTTGATGCCCACCACCACCTGCAGGCACCCCGTTGTCTGGGAACCCCATTTTTTGGCCACTGTGCTGTGACACCAGCTTCCTCTCCTGGGCCTTGCTTCTCAGGCTGTGCTTCCTCAGTCCTTGGGTCTGAGCCTGCCTGCCTCCCCTTCTTCCGTCCTGTCTCATTTTCACGTCCTTGCCTCTGCGCTTTTGTTTGAGTAAGCAAATAAACCCAGAAAGCGACGTTGAAGAGGCAAAATTCTAAAAACAATCAACCAAACAGAAATCCAGCTGCTACAGTTTAAAGCTCATTAATGCTTGAGGGGAAAACTGCTGAGTGTGAAATATATTTCAGTAACATTTCTGGAAGGGATCTGGACAATATCTATCAACATGGAAACTTTATACACCTTTTGAAGTAGCACTTTCATTTGGGGAATTTGTTCTATAGATGAAGTTGTATGAGTGTGATATGCGTGTGTGCACACAGGTGCACACGTGCGTGTACATAGACACATCATCGTACCAACTTACACAGGATGTTACAGCAGCATTGGAGGAGCAGGCAGTTTGTAACAACATAAATGCCCATCAATGGGACCTGTTTAAATAAATGAAGGCCCATTCATATACTAGGCGACCACATAACCATTAAAAATAATGGAGTAGAGCTATATGTACTGATATAGAAAGATGTCTAAGCGATAAAAAAAAAAATCAAATTACAGAGGAGTATAGTATGCCTTTTTTTTTTTTTTTTATCCTCACCCGAGGACATTTTTTCATTTTTTGTTCAGATAGAGTGGGAAGGGAGAGAGAGAGGGAAACATCGACGTGAAAGGGACACATCGAGTGGTTGCCACCCGCACGACCCAACAAGGGCCGGGGACAAACTGCAACCGAGGTACGTGCCCTTAGCGGGAACTGAACCTGGGTCTCTCTGGATCTCAGGCCAACGCTCTAACCGCTGAGCCAAACCGGCCCGAGTGCGCTTCTTTTTTTTAAAGTATGTTTCTTTTGAGTTTAAACAAACTAGGTGCACGCGCATGCGCGTGCGTGTGTGTATACATACACAAAACATTTTCTGAATGAACCCAAGAAAAAGTTGTTGCCTCTGGGAGTCAAAGGAGAGGATAGTGGAGACTTATTTTCACTTTCTACTCGCCTATACTCCAAGAAATTTTCAGCCATGGGCATAATTTAAAAATAAATTTAAGTAGCCCTGGCCGGTTTGGCTCAGCAGTTGGAGCATTGGCCTGTGGACCAGAGAGTCCCAGGTTCGGTTCCCCCTAGGGGCACATAAATAAATAAATAAATAAATAAATAAATAAATAAATAAATAAAATTTAAGTATAAACTATGTGAGTAATTCAGCAAAGTTGTGTAAAGCATCGTCCACGTTCCCATGTCGCGAATCACTGTGTCACAGGGATATCTAGTGACCCAGCCCATCGCTCTCATCAGTTCGAATGCAGGGGACTTGCACGAGATGCAGGAGAAGCCACAGAATCGGGTGGGCGGGAGCACTGCCCCGGGACAGACTCCCGGAGGGACTCCCAGGCACAGAACTGTGATGAGAGGTCACTCCCACCACCACCCCAGGCCCAGACACACAGAACTCATTCCAGACCAAGTCCTGCTCAGGAGACTCGGACCTGTGGCATCTAAGTCACAAGTCTGTCTTCTAGCAGCCAGAAGGCTAGAAAATATAAAGATTTTCAAGAGTCTCACTTGGGAAGACAGGATTCACCATGTGGGAAATACCAGAATGGAGGAGGTGCAGATTAATAGAGGGGGGCAGGTATAGATGACAGGTGTCACCCTGTAGGTGACCTCCCTGGGACCCTATTTAGTGAATCATATTTTATCAGAGGAAAAATTTATTCCAAAATTGTGTTTGTGTGAGACTGAAAATGAATGATAGCAGGGCCCTGGGCTTTCCCTTAGTTATTTAGTTAAGTGTGGGAAATTTTTCTGGCAGAAATGACTAGAGTTTCAAAGACTGGTGAAATCCAAGTAAATCCTGGATTTAGATGGTTTTCTCTGAGTTCTAGAATAGTAATGATAGCTACCACTGAGTTCATGTTATTGTATGTCAGACACGTAAAAAAGGGAAAAAAAATTGCTTTTAAAAATATTACCACGGCCACCAGCCCTACACCCGACTGTGTCATTCTGGGTTCGGCCAGAGGAACAAACCAGCAGCTGTGTATTAAGAGCTTTGTGACGGGGAACTGGCTTACAGTTGTGGGGCTGGGGAGGCCGTCTGAGACCCCGAACACAGGCCATCAGGAGCGGGAGCCTGAAGCTGCCACACACGTGGAATTTCCTCTTCTCCAGAGGCCTCAGTTCTGCTCGTCAACCTTTCGGATGATCGAGTCAAGCCCGCCAGATTAGCTGTAGGAAACCCCTTACAAAACCAGCTGGGCCCTGGCCGGTTTGGCTCCGAGGTTGGAGCGTTGGCCTGCGGACTAGAGAGTCCCAGGTTCGGTTCCCACTAGGGGCACGTACCAAAAAAAAAAAAAAAAAAAAAATCAGTTGGTAACGGTCCAGCCGGAGCGGCTCGGTTGGTTGAGCGCTGTCGGTGCCCCGAAGGGTTGCTGGTCTGATTCGCTGTCAAGGTACGTGGAGTGTGAATGGAGGGCGACCGACTGATGCTGTACGATGCCAGCCAATGAGCCTGCTCACCTGAAAGTGTTTCTGCAGAAATGTAGAGAAAGCCGGCAATAGTAATGCCATGTTATGAGCCTTAAAGACATTGAAGCCATTAAGGTCCCTGAAAAGGGCTATTAAAAAAAGAAAAAGAAAAAAAAAAATCAACTGATTATGGACTTTAATCACATCTACAAAATATCTTCACAGCAACGCCTATATTAGTGTTTGAATGACTAATTATTATTGCCAAGATAGCTAATCCTGACAACTGACCAGCATACCTACCTATACACCTGCCTACTGCCAACCACCCAGGGAAACAGAGGACATTTAACTTTTCAAATGATAAAAGAAAGTGTATTTAGAAAGTCAGAGGTAGAAGTGAGCCTAGAAGAAATGGGCGGAGGAAACACGTTCCAGAGGGACAAGGAGGGCCCTTGGGGCTTAGGGGAGAGGCCAGGAAAACGCACCCGGGGGCAAGGGGTGGAGAAAGGTGCTGGGTGCTCCACAGGGAGAGCTCAGCTGGGTCCTCATCCTAAGGGCTTTTAGGGTGGCGGTTTAGGGAAGGTCCCAGGGAGGATCTCAATAGAATTGTCTTCAGCTTTTGCAGGTGTGTCCTTTCAGCATCATGGTCTGTACTGATTGGTCGGTGCTGGGCTGAGGGTAGGGGGTCATCAGTCACTGCACCTGGTCCTGATGTCCACCATGCCATCGTGCCATCGCCCCTCCTGGCCTCGCTGCCTTTCTGGGCCTAGAGCTTGTCCCATAGCCTCTGGGCTCTGAACGTGACATGGTTTGGCCAACAGACTGTGCACATCCCAGCAGAAGCTCTGAGATGCCTTGGAAGTCCCGGCCAGCCCTCTTCCTCTCATACCTGCCACGAGAACGGCACGTCTAGGTCAGGGCTATTCTCCTCGTCTGAGTCAGTTCTGGAGGCTGCAAGTACGGAGTCATGGTGTCCACGTGGTCAGGCCGTGTCTGAGGATGAGCTGTGTTCTGGCTCACAAGTGGCCGGATCCTCGCTGTGTCCTCACACGGTGGAAGGCACAAAGCTTGTTAATAAAGTTTTTCAGTTATGCAAAGTAGGCCAAATTAGAATGGAAGAAATCGAGAGTAGAAAGCTTTGCAGACATTTAATTTATTCAGTTTATTCATCCACTCAACTAGTGGTTATGGAGTGCCTTCCAGCAAGTTATTGTTCTTGATGTTTGAAATGTATCAGAAAATGAAACCGACTAAGATTCCAGCCTGCATGGAATTTATATTCTTTGCATAATAGAGTGGTGGCAACTTTGAGTTTTCTTTTGGCAGCTGGAAGAGATTGAAGTTTAGCGGCCGGGCATCCAGGAAAAGAGCGAAGGAAGACAGATTTTGGGAAGGGTCCCACCTGCTAGCAGGTTGGGATCAAGGAAATGCTGACGAGTGCAAAACCCTCTTGTGAGGCTCACGGAGGCTACTAAGGACGATGATATTTCGTGGCCCGGCTTCCCGGTCTCTTGTATTATCCACCATCATTCCTGGAGCTTCCGTCACAGTTAGTGACGTGCCCACCTTGGATTGATGACGTTTGGTGAGGTTTGGTGGTGCCCGAGCCTAGAACAAACTGGTGCCGTGAGCACGCGGCCGCAGTGGGCAGGAGAGCTGGCAGGAGAAACAGGATTGGTAGAAGATAAACACACAGATATTGTCAACATAAAAACGTCCAAACCTGTAAAACATTTTTATAAGATTTTATCTGAGCCTAACTGATGACAATGTTTGGGAAGCACCATCTCAGATGCTTTAGAGAATGAAAGTTTTGCAGTTTCTTTCATGCGTTGGGGTTTAACGAGGGACAGGAAGGAGGATTTCGTGAGGTGGGGGAAAGCAAGGCGGGGATTGGATACAGCACAGCAAGGATTACGGGCTCTCTGGAGCGTAGTTACGCATATTTCAATGGTGTGTTAACCTACATGCACAGCAACAATGGCCAGGACTTGCTTAAAGACAAACCTGTTAATAACGAAGTTATGTGCCTGGGGCTGATTATCCACCATAACGTGCCCAAATAGGAATTCAGCATCAGGTCACCCTGTGACGTTACTTTCGGCAGAAACCCTTTTTTTGTCCACAATATTAAGATATAAATATATAGAGATGGAGATGGAGACAGATTTATTTCAAAGAATCGGCTTACACGATTGTGGAGGCTGATAAGTCCGAAGTCTGTAGCAGGTCGGCAGACTGGGAAGCCTGGCTAAGGGGCTGAAGCTGAAGTCTCGAGGCACCATCTCTTTTCCCTCGGGGGAACCTCAGCTGTGCTCCTAAGGCCTTTCCGTAATGTGATCAGATCACATTATGGAGGTAATTTTCTCCACTTAAAGTCAACTGATTGTAGACCTTAACCACCTCTACGAAACACCTTTACAACTATGCCCCGTCTGAATCAAGCACTGTCGTCTGGCCAGGTTGACCACACAGCCGAACCTCACAGGCAGGAGATGAACATAAGACCCAGGACTCCTCTGGAAACTGAGAGTGGAACTGGACTTCTGCGGGATGGAGCTTGAGACAGTCTGTCTAGTAAACTATTGAGGAAAAAAGATAGAAAACTTGGCGATAGGCACCAGGATGACTGCAAGTCCTGTGAGGTCCCCCCGAGGGCAACCTCACCATTTACTGTTGATTAGGACACTTCACCGCTCCGTGAGGGGGAGTGTGATCTTGTAGAACATGGTTCTTACCTTACCGCAATGCAATTACCTTTTCTTTTCAGTTTTATTGAGAAATAATTGACATACGGCATCATATAAGTTTACATTCTACAGCATGATTTGACTTACATGTATCGTAAAATGATTACCACAATAAGTTTAGTTAGCAGCCATCATCTCATATAAAGGCTCTTAAAATTTTTCATAACAACTTTCATATATATCACGCAGCAGTGTTAACTATGCTCATCATGTTATACATTATATCCCAGTACTTATTTATCTTATAACTGGAAGTTTGTTCCTTTTGAGCACTTTTATCCAATCCCCTTACACACACACACACGCACACGCACACGCACACACCATAACCAAAAATCTTCTGTTTCTATGAGTTTGGTTTTGTGAATTTTTTTTAGATTCCACATATAACTGAGATTATACACTACTTGTCTTTCTCTGTCTGACTTATTTCACTTAGCATAATGCCCTCAAGGTCCATTCATGTTGTCACAAATGGCAGGATTTCCTTGTTTTGTTTTTTGTTTTTTTATGGTTGAATAATATTTCATTGTAAATATATACCACAACTTTTTAATCTCAGGCTGTTTCCATGTCTTGGCTTTTGTAAATAATGCTGCCATGAATATAGGGGTACATATGCCTTTTCGAATTAGTGTTTGGATTTCTTTTTTTTTTTTTGGTACGTGCCCCTAGCGGGAACCGAACCTGGGACTCTCTGGTCTGCAGGCCAACGCTCCAACCGCTGAGCCAAACCGGCCAGGGCAGTGTTTGGATTTCTTTAAATAAATACCCAGAAGTGGGATTGCTGGATCATATGGTAGTTCTATTTTTAATTTTTTGAGGAACCTCCATACCATTTATCAGAGCAGCTGCACCCATTTACCTCCCACCAGCAGTGCACGAGGGTCCCTAGTCTCCACACCCTGGCCAACGCTTGTTAGTTCTTGTGTCTTTGATGCTAGCCAATCTAACAGGCATGAGGTGATCTCTTACTGTAGTTTGGACTAATGAAATATCTTCTGCCCCATATAAGGAAACAAGAAGATACAACCTCAAACCATCCTCTTTGACATACGAATTATGTTGAACCAAAGGCCATGCAAAGCCAGCAGATGCAGCAAAAACTACAAACAGGGCAAAGTTTTCCTGTTGTAAAGGAAATTTACATTCACAACGGACATTCCAATCTGTGAAAGGTGTCTCCCTAAGGGACAGGTCCTGCAACCTCATTAAATGACCTTGTTTACCATACTGTTCCCAGTCATCTTCCATTTACTTCCTTCTCCCCTCACCAAAACGTCCAAAAGTCCCAAGCCCCTTGTCCTTTGTTGTACCCCGAGAAGATACGTACACCCAAGTTCTCACCCCCGCCCGTGTGGAAGCAGCACGCCCGTGCGTGTTTCTCTCTGGTTCATCTGGCTCTGGCCAGTCTCATGTACCCAACCTCAGCTGGGTGGATAAGCTAAGATGAGTAGAGGAAAAGATTCTTCCTCCCCTACGCATAGAAATGAAATGTATTTCCACCCAAAGAAAAGATAATCCCCAAAGGTTACAGTTTTATTGCCCTGAGGTTTATTAACCAGTTTGTCATGAATTTAGCCATCTTACTTGAGCAGTCTATCTTTCTGTGACTTTAAATACTTCTGTCTCTACTACTCTCCTCTGAACCAGCGCTAGCTTCTGGGGCTTGCCTCGTCAGTGAGCTGTGAGTCTGATGTGCGTACATCCTGTATCTATAGGACAGGCCTGTTTTTAGCTTTCGAAGAGGAAAGGGTGAAGGACCCAGAAGGCTGAATGACCCAGGGGCATTTGGGTGCTCCTTTTCCTATTTAATTTTCACAAAAACACAGCTGTTGAATATTATGATTGCTCTTTTAATAGATGAAGAAACAGAGACTCTCCAAGGTTGAAAACTTGCCCAGAACCACATAAATAATTCATGGGAGCTGGGATCAAACCCTGGGCTGGGCTTGCTGCTCGCTCTGCTGTCTGTGCTCTCCACAGCTGAAGAGCAGTAGGAGGGATCCTTGGAGTCTAGCTCCTTTCACAATGCCCAAGCTCCCGCTAGGGGACTCGGGACAAGTGGCTGCTGTCTTCCGCCCGACACTGTAGTCGTGTTCTCTACACCAGCCTGTCCTGAGGATTCTCCCCTCCCTCCGGGTGTCCCAGACTGCAGGGCTGCGGCTCCCTGGACACCGGTCCTCCATCGGTTTGTGAACGTCGGTCTTCGGGTGTGGCGCCCTGAACCACACATCGTAACACTCCACATCGGGCTGATAAATGAAAAGTAGAGAACTGTCACTCATTGTCCGTGTCAGAAAATATTCTTCCATCACGCAGGCTAAGAAGGGGTTCACTTTCATGGTGGTCTCGATAAATGATACTATACGTTAATCTTGTACACAAACCAAAAATCTGTGCC